ATATGATGGATTTACAATCACGGGTCTGTGTTTACTCACTTCACTCCCAACACTCGCCCGACCAGGAAGTCCATGTATGTCGTTCGACAGGACTAAACACATTAAGGAAGACAGAATAAGATAGCTCTCCGTCTTCCAGTCGAAAACGCATTATTGGTTTGGACGTGCACAGTGTGTTGAGTAATGCGGCGTACTAACAACACTGAATAATTGTCATTGTATTATCTCTGCTAATATATCCGGTTGACCGGCGAAGCAACGCAGATCGGTTTACTCTTAACCTCGACTTTCTTTAACTTATCCCTAATGCTCCGAATCACTTAGCTAACTGGGCGTTTAGCATACCTATTTCGCATAAATGCGGCTTTCAGGAACCGGAACGCTTCTTCTGTTGTTTCTTCACTACAAAAGTTCCTTGTCCTACCCGCTCGGCAGTGATTGTTATGGATCCCATAACTGGTCTCAAACTGGAAATACCCTCAATTAATATGCAAAATGCTAGGTCCATTTCCCCCAAACAATTTTGATTCTGCCAGTTGCGAAACACATTTCAATTTATTGGCACGGTCATGATTCAATTTAACAATTGCGATACTAAATGCAGTCCAAATTATGATTTTTCCAGCTGATCAAAGGATGAACGGCGAATTCGGTTTCTCCTCACCACTCAATACCTCAAACTCACATGGGTTTACGTCCAGGATGGTTTTTGAACATCTCGATCATAGCCATCAAACTCTCCGCATTGTATGGAACCTTTCCTGTCAAGCATTCGTAGATAATTGCCCCGAGGCTCCATACGTCTGCTTTACTGTCGTATGGCTTCATCAAATGTACTTCGGGAGCCTGAAACATGAGTAATAAAGCAGTATGTCCAATATGAGCAGTTGTACGGATGGAATACGTAACTTTCAATTAGGTTACTTGGCTTCTTTTAAAAGCACTCGCGGTTTTTCTCAATTTTCGTTGAGAACTTGATATAATTGTGGCTGTTTTCGACTGGATAAATGCACAGAAAATGGCTTATTCTTACTTGAAATTGAGAGCCGTTCTCTATCTCCTCCGCAGCGTCACCTCACGCTTTTGAAAGATCTTTCTGGTATTACAAATAACGGTGTTTGCGAAGAAATTTCTTTTCCATTAGGCAATCATAATACAGATATCTGATTGGCTGATTACAGCTCAGTTGATAACGATGACGGAGGCGAGCACCGTTTTCTACAGTGTCTATTTGAATATTCTTTCCGATCTTGTCGAGCGCATTACCATATTACTATTGGATAGAATCTTATAAGCTTGGTCATTTCAGGTTTACCAACTAAATATGTTCTCGTGGAAATCGAGTTATGCCGCTGATTTATAATTATCAAAGTAAACAACAATACTTTAAAAAAATACAACTTTGTAGTTAGCCACAGCCTGTAGGAGTGTTTAATCCAATGACATATTAGCGAACGAATTTCACCTTTATTGGCCAAATCGAATCAAGGATGTTTATTGTTTCATTTGTTATCTGCTCTGTTGTTCAATATGCGCAAGTTATTAGCGGAATGTGTCGATAAAAATATGCATACATTTTCAAACTGGATATCTATGTATACCAACTTATACATACCGGCAAATGGGCTATCAAGAAAAATGAACAAATAAAAGAGACTGTCCGAAGGCTCTTCAACTTCCGGGACAACATCCTTTTAGAGTGATGTTAAATTCGAAATAAGTTAGATTCTGACTGATCGCACCTAATCCGATGACTAAATGTTTTATCATCACAAATGCAGAAGAGATCATCATCAGTATCATCTGAGCCATCATCATCACGAACTCTTGACCAAATGAGTCTGTGCGGATCACAGTCGTGTTTTAATAGTGCATTCACTATATCTCACTGAATGCATTGCTCATCTAAAAGGAAGATTCAGCAGTTGATCGCGTTTGAATTATTGGTATTTTCAAACAGTTTTATTTGTAAAATGCTCCATTCCAAAAGTGCACAGTGCAGTTGGCAAAATTAAGTTTTCACTAGACCGGTAGCTTCAGGACCTCTTTCCCAGCGAGTTTTTGTACTTTCGATTGCTCGAGGTTTCTATCAAGTTGCCCGAATTCGGTGTCGATTGACAATGATTAAACTATCCACTATTTGCTCCAATCTCGTAAATATTACAAAGTAAATGGAATTAATGTACAACTGCTGAACTAATGTGTTCATCCATCCACTCCCATTCATGAAACTTTGCTCAAGTGGTTTAAAATTTCCTCCAGCAATGATGGAGCTTACCATGTAGACTGGAGATCCACAAACAGTCGCTGCCATTTCGTTGCGTTTAAGCTCACGAGCCAATCCGAAGTCACCTTGATAGATAAAGAAAAAGTCAAACCCGCGATCTTAAAACTGAAAACATTTGTTTCATGAAGAATAACCAGAACAGTTCTCCAGTGCTCTCTGAGAATGGTTGCATTCCTTAAAACATATATAGAGGGTCGGTCTTTTGAAGTACCATTTCTCAAAGCAGCTAGTGTTTAACAAACAACAGACGTTGCTCATTAGCGAGGAATAAAATGCCGGGATTTTTAATTACAAGGAGTGCGGTAATCACAAAGGAATTCACAATAAATTCATGGGACAAGGTTTAAGCCATAGGAACCAATGAAGAGGGGGATGAGATCACAATAACGGTATTGGGTAGCAATGGTACCTAACCACGAGCATTAAGAATTCCTCAAACAGAAAATGCAATGACAGTCAATGAACTTACTTCAATAGTGGATCATCAATCACGGCGCAGCTACGTATTCCTAAATATTAGATACTTTCGTGAAGCGGTCGCTTACATCAAAATCTTCCCTAGTTTTTATGAAGTTCATTTCATTTCTTTTTAAAGTAAATCGCTTACATTCATAGTGATCGAACATTTTTCAAACATGAGCTTATAATTGAAAACTTGAGTAAGTTTTATCATACGAGTTTTCTTGCGAATCACACCTCCAACCTGATGACTCGGTTATTTAATTTTTGTTCTGTAACTCGACAAGCCCTTGGGATTTTTCATGGTGCATGTTTCTGAAATCAAAGCTTTTTACTGAGTCTTTCCAGCTTGTCCTCTCCAAAAGCAAAGTCCTCAAGTTTGGTTCCATGCAATTTCTTTTACTAAATCAGCTCTTTTCTCCGGGAGAAACATCAATGCCAGATATGAAATCATTGCATCCAAATCGGTCACGTAACTTAAATAATTCACTGCGGCTGAGTATCGGGGTGGTCCCGGTACAACGAAAAAGCCTATATACTAATCAATGACCATTACCCAATGTTCCGAACACCCATCAAAATTATCGCCAAGGGAATTTGGACATTGGAAATTATTAATGAACAGACTGTGCAGCACTGTGAAGGATTCTGTCGAGACAGGAGAATGTGTTAGATACCATTGCTGTCACAGTAGAATCAATGGATTGGGCAGAGCAAACACTACCTAGGGTAATTGTTGATTAATCATTCGGTGTGGTTATCCACTGAAGTCGATAAATCGCGTATACTGCACCACTGTGCGATCAGTTCTGCTTTACGATTGTGAGAACTTGAATATGCGTGTAGAAGACAGCCGTCCCCTAGTAGTTTAAGACAATCGATGCTTACGTAGTCTAGCCCAGGTGGGATGGAGCACACAGGTTGGTTAACCAGAAGTAAGTCATCTTGTGCTTGGGAATGCACCTAGGACGAACTCGCTAGCGCTCAATAAGCTCCATTGAGGTGCACAGGTTTTGCGTGCGTACGGTCGCCTACCACAACGCAACTTATTTGCCGTGGCCGCTACAGACTGGAGAAAACCACTTGGAGGTCAGCAGATGAAGTGAAGCTGAGGTATGAAGAAATGCACAGAGCGATTAGGTGCAGTACGTGTCTCTTGTCTTCCGAGTTGAGATCCAGAAGACTCCATAACTGGATGATTGGTGACACTGAAGGTCATGGCAGCAAACCGATAGCAGTGGCTAACTTACTGTCACTTCTTATCAGTCCAGAGAGCTTGAAAGCGTGTATATGCACAGTTGGACTGTGCACCCTGTGTGCTGACCATGGGGGTTCGCATTTCCTCTCCGTCCCTAAACATTGGCCTAATCCTTACGCGGTCTCACTTAACTTGGATGCACTATGAGTTTGGCAACGATCAGTGAAGCCCGCTTCACCACAAAACGCTGTAAACTGATGATGATTGGTTATTTAACTTACTACAACCATCAATGATAATGAACAATATTTTGGTATTATCCAGCATCGACAGAAAGCGATTGTAACTTTTACACAGGAGGAATCGAGTGACCTGTAATGAACTGCAATCGAACGGTTCTAAGGTGACGGTTTTTCATCCAAATGAGAATTTTTCTTACAAACTTCCGTCCATCCCGTAAACGTTTATTACCGACACTGATATCACCCGAAATCAGTCTCAGTCAGCCGTTGTTTTTGTCTGTTATCTCCGCAATAGGTAGCAGTACTTGGCTCCATGATAATAGCAATCTGCTTACTAAGTCAATGATCTGTTTAGTTGATTGCAACGATGGATTCCAGCACCGAATAACGTGGAAGGTCATCACAATCTGGGGTGTCAACGTAGGCAGCGAAACCATTCGAAACATGGCATACACATTGGGAATATCTGTTGCTGTGTGATGACAGTAGAAATCAAATTAATCATTACTACTTTCTGAAACACCGAATGTCATGTTGGAAATTTGCATCCTCCGGCTTACGCTCGCATCCATAGCTGCTTATTGTGGCTGGACATCAAAAGATCAAAAGAATTTCCGGCACACTGAAATCGGCAGACTGAATAGATTTGTAAAGACTTCATTTGAAATGTTATTGCTTTTTGCAAAGTGCATATTTATTCTCTAATATATCATGTACTTGTGGTCGTTTTAAATGCTAGTTTTCAGGATTTAGCCATCGTGTAATTGACAAAGTTTGCACTTGGAAAGACTCAATGCAGTTCATTCATTTTCGATGGTGGAACTTCTTTTCATAATAATCTGCAAAGTCACTGTACACCACATAATGCTTGCTCACCGGGTACGGATATATATATCCACTGAAATTATTGAATCCATGCCTCACACAAATAATAATGCTCTCCCGGTTTCCCGTCATTTGAACAAACCTAAGTCTGACTAAATCTTTTCCAGGAATGATAAATACACCTTGTATACACTTTTTCCAGTTTGCAGAGAAGCAAAGATGACCCAGTTCCGCGCACAAACAACCAATCGGTATTTGATTAAGATGAATAATAGTGAGATAATTTCATTTCAGTAAAGTGGCGGTTCTTCTTCTAGCTCTGGGTTACCCAAGGCCTTTCAGCTATGTACGTGTCATCTGGTGTCAAGCGCACGAAGCCACGTGATTACCTTTAAATTACAATTGCTTCACTTGTGAATCACGTGATAGACACATGGTCTCAGAAAAATCAATCACATTCGATGGTACCCATTAAAGTGTGCTTCAATTAATTGATTTGTAAGAATAAGACAGTTATTTCTTCAATGTCAGAAATTCATATGTGAGAGGCCTTCAAATGATACGCATTTACGATGAAAGCAATCATTTGAAACCTACACATCGAGAAAAAGAAACTTACCTATTTTGAATGTAATCTCCTCTATTGGCAAATCGATGGCCTGTTTTCCGCAGTTCTTGCAATGACTAAGTAGAATATTGGCTGGCTTCAGATCACGATGAATAACCTTCAAGATGAACATTTCATTCATGGCACGTGCCACTTGACCCAAAATAATCCGAATTGAGTTCAACGACAGTGGACGTTTCGCTTCAAATCGGGGAATAGGCTTAGACCGGACAATATACCTGCAAGATATTTAGACAAATCTCCACCGTTGCACATTTCCATAATCAAGTAGATACCGGTGCGTTTTTCATCAATGTAGTATGCGTATAGTTTCACAATGTTTGGATGTCTGAGTGCCTGAATTGGTTATAAAATTATTTTTCATTCGCATATAACTGGCTGGCAGAAAACACCTCACCGTCAACAATGCTATTTCCCGTTTCAATACATAGGAGAGTGGTGTATCGCGTGAGTTTTCGATGAACTTGATAGCCACCTGCTTTGACGGCTTCTGCACAAAGCCCATTGCACAATGGAAACCGTATTTGTAATGTGAAACTTACCACAATAAAATTTCCACGGTAAACCGAACCGAATTGTCCGCGACCCAAATGGTTTCGAGGATCGTATTCAAAATCACCCAGTTGTATCATAGTGTTGAATTCAAAAAGTAATAATAATAAAATCCAACTCCGCGAAGGATGCACTAGCAACTCTCAGTAATTTATTGGAGTTCCCAGATATCTTATAATGACGAGAATGTACACTTCACTTGAGATTAGTAAGGTGACACTGAAAAACGCGAAACAGTCGAGTAGTTTGTGACATGAATAAACAAAGCGTGTTGCCTGTCTGTTTGTCTGTCAGCCTGTCTACCTGCCTGCCTGTTTACCTGTTTTTCTTGTTGTTCTCGTTGTTGATTTGTGTTTGTCTCTGTACCTATACAGTTGTTTGTCAGTCTGCCTGTCAAACAGTCTACCTGTTCATATTACTCGTCAAAACGAGCAGCATGATCACTCGTCAACATTAAACATTTGTGTAGGTGCGCCATCCGACAGGAGCACAAAACCAATTCCATTTCTGAGTTGCTAATGCTAATGTATTTGTTTTTCAGACGTCAATGGGATAGATAGAATTACTTTCTTTTGTATCAAATAGTTACATATTTGCCAGTTGTGGGTGCAACTCACGCGCATGTATAATTTTGGATACGTGGTTATATGCGAAAATAATGAACGGAACAAACACAAATAAAATTGGTCCTTGTCAGTGACAAGCTGTGCGTGGCGGGATGCGACGGCTAGCGAACAGATTTATCCAGTCTGTCCCATTTCGCGTGACGGGTCCTGTATCGTCTTGAACGGTGCTGTTTGGTGGGAGGTATTGTATTTTATAATCTTTTTCCGTGATGGATAAAAGGTGAGCGCAATCAGCAACAGATATAAAATCAGATTCGATAACCGAATTACCACGTGGGTCGCAAGGGAACACATATCCAGGGTAATTTGTTTCTCAATCTATCACAGATGTTAACGCTAGATCGGTAACTTTAACAAGGCATTCTGATACCTTTATTCTTTTCCCTAAATAATTCCGTATTGGAGGAAACTATTCGTGCTATTATCGATACGCTTGCCGATTATTTGGAGCCACGCAATTCGATCGCACAGTCGCTTATTTCAAATAGTTTCTTGTAAATCGGAAATCGGAGATTGTTTGAAACAGAGAATCAAAAGGAAACATTTTCCGAATTCAGCATGGACATACACTGCAGGTAAACTTATCAGGGACATAAAATGGAACTCAAACTCATTTCCCGATCCCTCAAGTTTGTGTCGTCATGCAGTCACATACCACGAGAACATCTATTACGACATGTGGTGGCACACCACCTCCAATCCGGCAAAGTATTCTCTAATAGGATTTTAACTGATATTTCCCACCCACTTTCATTCTGCTCGAAGTAAGTGCCTTTCTTACTCATCCACCCGTTCCAGTCATAAACTTATAAACGCACGCACTGAAGCTTACAGGCCCTCTATTGTACCGTATCTGACCAGATTTCTTACGAACCATGAACTCTTTGCAGAAAATTTGCACAAAATGTTAAACCAACCCAACCGTAAACACCCTGGTATGCCATCGGATGTTAATGTTCCTGTACGTTTCACTTCTTTTAATTGCTGTATTGCACTTCCATTTTTTTAATTGTTGACACAGTATAGTTATGTGATTGCTGAATACCCACCCTTCGAGGTATATAAAGCAGTTCCTTGATTTAACCTGATCCACGACAAATCTGGTTCTCGTTGATCTAACTGCTGGTCAGCACATCACATTGTTTTATGGTAAGCAATTAATTACAGGCTGGGAAAAGTATAACCATGTCCATTTCAATAGCCCGATTCTGTTCGCACTTTGGCCATCATCAGGTGTCGATTGTGTGGTGATCTTAGCTTAGGGGATAACGAAAAACACGGGGCGACACGTTACAGTTTCCGGACAACTGTGATGAGTCAAGCTTCCCAGGTGACGTCAACAAGGCGCTTAAGCGTTACAGCTTCTAGACTACGATAAATAGGCCGATTGTACCAGCCAATCAGAAGCCGTGTGGCTCAGACAGAAGCTGTACAGCGCCAGGAATACTAGCACACCATTGACAGAGGCTTGGACGACCAACGAACTTCCTTTGTACATATTGTTTAAACTCCATGATTTCTTTCAATAAATGAACTGCTACTCCTGTGGCCTTTGCCCTGCTTCTCGGTTACGTGGGATATCGTCGTTCAAGTTACCGTGGAACTCCGTGCTTATGTGGCGTCAGTGATTTCTGACACGTGATTCGGAATTCATGCTCAGTGCGTACTTCAACCACTACAGATTGCCTCCGTTCTCCTTCAGTTCTGAGTTCTTATTTAGTTTGATCGCCCGCTGCAAACGATTTTGAGCAGACGAAACCATCCCCCGAGCTTCATCTACCACCTGATATGACTCCACAACCAAATTCTTCAGGAAATTGATCATACCATGATTCAGCCTGATGGGTTTGTGACCGATGACTTTAACCAATATTATATGATCATGGAACCATAAATTGTGGCTTCTTACTCCGTTCGTGATGAATTCTTATCCCCGAGAACACTGACATATAAACCAACGAAGATGAGCTCTTTGCTTATACAACAAAACGTGTTGAGATTCCGGTTGATGACCTTGCTGTTTTGTATCTGGCACGGATGAAACGGGATATAAACTTCCAGTTTTGTTCTTCTTTCGAGATAACGTTTATTGAAAAACCCAGATGGACAACCCTGCCTGTCTACATCTGAATGCCTCATCTGTGCTCAGGGGTTATGTACCTTTCAGTAACCTATCACACATACACACACATCGTGATCTGTAGAGTCAGATAGGCCAATTGTACAACAACACAATTTACTCCTCTCACCGATGATGATACTTAACGTTTTGGACCTAAACCGGTGTGAATTGCCAAGGCTAGCTTACCATCCCCCGCCTAGCGCGGGTTTCGGAAAATCGATCATGCGCAACTAACTTGGTTTTCGCTCAGGACGACTGGACCGATGTTGTAGACCAGGACAAAGCGGTAGATGTTATGTACCTATACTGCTCTAAGGTATTTGATAGGATAAATCATAAAATACTGTCAAGGAAGCTATATAACCTTGGAATCCGTGAACTCGTACTTGGCTGGATCGAGGAGTTTCTTCGACTGCGTACCA